ACTCACTTTCTTAAGTAAAGGATGATATTGCATATTCTTAAAAATACTTGAGGTAGACAGGAAATCACTTTCTTCATGAGAGATTATGCTCTTTACTCACATTTGGAATATTTCTTTGGTTAATATTTTTCTGATATCAATTTCATTGGGCATCTACTCAATCGCGCAACGCGCGTGTGAAAACTAGTACTTATTACTACATATACATAGTACTACGCACTATGTATGTGGTATGTCTATCATGATTCATAAAACATTCCATAGTCAACAAACCCACATATTTAAGCCAAATAGATATGCTCTATACTTAGAATTGTGAATCAAGTATAATGTGTGAATGTGTGATACACGGAATGCTATATACGCTGCTCTCTCATCCCACATGGTGATATACGGAATATGGTGCATCCCCTAATCTTCATTGTGCTTCCCTCGCCTGTCCATCTTGTGTAAATCCAGAGAAGTATCACAAGGAGCGGGAATAACCTACTGCAACCCGAACTGTCGTAGTACGCGATCAGGAAAGTGATGATCCACTACATCAAAACAAATCAAGGGCACACGTGCTCGCCATGTCTCAGTGTGCTCTCGGCCAATAGGAGACAACTGTCCTAGAATCTCATAAGTTTATGGCATCTCCGTCATCTATAATACAAAGGATGTTTTTACTTGGACTGTAATTTGCTGGTCTGGTCTGAACTGGTCTGGTCTGGTCTGGTAAGGTCTGGTTTCTTTGTATTTTTATAACTATCCAAGTCTAGTCTGGTCTGGTCTGAACTGGTCTGGTCTGGTCTGGTCTGGTCTGGACTGGTCTGGCCTGGTCTGGTCTGGTCTGGTCTGGGGCAAATTACAGTCCAAGTAAAAACATCCAAAATATTATGACATCATTGTTTATATAAACGTAAAACAAAGTAGTTATACTTAATGATATACAGGGTATACCTGATCATCACACATGCCATCTAATGCATCTCGATAATACCCTAATCCAACAACGGATGACATGCGAGTGACGTCATCTGACACACAGTAATGCACAAGAATATAAAATGGATTGTACGACATACATAAAATAAGATAAAAATTAAACAAAATCCATAAACGTACCTATGACCCAAAGGGTCCTCGCCACAGACATGATGTGGTCCAAGTACAGATTGATCCAAAGCATCATCAAGAGGACTACCATCTATCCCATGATATCGTAGAATGACAGGTCTACCAATATGAATATGCTCCCACGACCATAGCTGTATGAGTAATAAAAACAACACATCTCGCCACCCTGACAATGGCAACCTCGACACAACTGCCAATATAGGTATGCTAAAGTCGCACCACCCCAACTACAAAGTGTTGCTACATCAAAAGTCTCCAAAAGGGGTAAGTAAAGAACCTGCACCTCACCGCTCTTGTTCGCAAACGTAGAGGCTCCCATAAGCATCAATATGTAGGCTCTCGCGTAGTGCTGGACAACAGCGTCATCGACATCAATAGGTAAAGCAGTAAGATGCTCTCTCAACCAAGGCATCCTCGAGGAGGACCCCCGAATATCTGTCCCAGGCTCTGGCTGTACTCCTAACAATATGTGTACCACATCAACCCATAGTCTACATGCAGTCCCGGTAACAGCTCGACCCTGGATCGGTAAACCTGCCAGTACAACCACATCTCCCAATGTGATCATCACCTCACCCACGGGTGAGTGGAAAGTGTGAGTCTCCTGTCTCCAACGCTCAAGTAGAGTGGTAAGTAATGCTCTATCTAAATACAGAGTCGAGACTAGCCCGTGAACACCGTAAAACCCAGCTAATCGAACGTAATGTAAAATCCTAGCATCCACTTGCATGTAAAATATACTGTGTAGGTTCTCATGACACCTATCTACCTGAACATCCCGGCCACGCCACACATCCTCGCTCCGGTGCGTGGTCTGCAATGTCAGGACTGAAGGATCAATCGCTCCGGGATCCACTGACACTTGCATCGGCATTGTAATAGTAATATATGTATTAGTTATTTTATTTTATTATTAAAATTAAATTTATTTATTTTTTAATATTGCTAATGCATTTGTGAATAAAAGAACAACATTACCCAGTGGAACTCCCTACGTGTCCCTGCGATCTTCTAGCACATGTCATCCTGTTATGCCCTGTTTGCTTGCATAAACCACATCTCACAGTACCTATAGGACATTCATCCATTTCATTTCTCAATCGTGTGGCCTTCGGACGACCTTTAGTGCAAATCATTGACGGATCATGCACAACTCGTGGTCCAGTGTAAGTAGGTCGATAAGCTATATCCGGTATGGGCTTAAATACTCTTTTATAAGAAGCTGCATACTCTAATGATGAGAAAAATATATCAACAAAAGCATCATAGGACAAACTACGCTCGTTCTTTACATACCACTGAGATATGTGAGTAATGAATCTTATAAATATTCAGTTTCTGACATGTGCAATGGCGACGGTGCAAATTCACAATTTGTTTTGTACCACCCTTCCCCACAGTTCGACCACCACGCCATAAACCACAGCCAACTCTCTCCATTCCCTGATTCACAAATAGCAAACGCCAAAGGGAACAATTGATTATTAGCATCACTACCCATTACCACCAACAACGTACCTTTATACTTCCCATATAAGTGCATTCCATCAATGGTCAGCAAGGGACGACAATGCTTAAAGCCCTTAATGGATGGCTTAAACGCCCAAAAAAACTCTTTGAAACTTCACACAGTCAGTGGCACCTGAAAGACGAAGAAAAACAGGGGGACAAATTTAAAATGGAATGTAATATGATACAATAAAAGATACTAATAATTCATTGGTACCTGAAAGAGGTGGGTACCAATGCGCGACCGTCCCTGGATTGGAATGCTATAATGCCAACATGAAATGGGACAAGTCAGAATAAAATGCCTCCCAATCTCCAAATATTTCGGCTTTTTGCTTAGCTAACCAACTTCGCTTGTATGAAGGCACATACCTGTACTTTTACTTCATAAGCTCACTAATAGTGCGAACTTTTAGTGATGGATCAGTACGAAGAAGATCAATAATTTCCCGGGCTATGAATTGAGCTGTGATACCAGCATGGTCATTGTTATCGACGTTACCTAGACAAGTAGGTATATGAGGACCTGCATAACAAACAACTCTGAAAATATCTAGCCCCCCCATGTTTCTTAGTAGCTCGATCCGCCAAGTGCAACCCCATTCTTTTCTCCGTTTACACTCTGCCACCCATTTGTGTAGGTCAGACTCTACAATTGCGAAAAATTGATTCATCTTTACAGAGTACAGTACACTCTAACCATGTTAATAAGTTGTTTCTTATCATCAAACTCTTGGCCAACCTCGAATTCACCATCTGTAGAGAAGCGACTAGAAGTTGTACAACCCCTCCATGATCCATCAAATTCCGCAGGGAGCTCATAAACTTTAGTGCAGTGCCTGGATGAAGCATTGCCACTTACGAGATCACCACCATCTTCATCTGAATTTGTTAGTGTGTCATGGTTCACATTTTCATCTGCATCATCGTCAGTGCATTGTGAATCTAGAAACGTTGCATCACTGTTTACGTATCTTCCATTCTCTTATGTAACCATATTCATCACAACTGGAACACATGTGGATGCGCAAGATAATGACGGGTTGTCCGATTGTATGGGCAATACAGTCACTTCTTCAACATATATCTCCATGGCATGCATAACAAGATTCATGATTAAGGTTCACATTCCCATAACGGCTTCGTCATCAGCAAGAGGCATCAATATGTATGATCCACCATGAATGAGATATTTAACTTTCAAATCCAACTTGTTCATACGATTGATGGATGTGGCGGTATAAATTTTATTTATTAACTCAGCCACATCCACTCCACAGGAAACACCAATTATCATCCTACTCCCCCCTTCACAATGAATTCTATTTGACTCCTCGATAATATTTTCTCCCAATGACAAACAATGAGGAAGTTTGGAGACATATTCTACCAAAAAATCATTCCAAAAAACTATGATTTATGCCGCACGTTGAAAATTCAACTACTAATTCAAACGAATTGTATCAAATCATATGTATCATTTTCATGATTTCATTCAATTAAAAAATCAGATAGATACATATAAATAATGTGCTACATTACTCTTTTTCAACCGACCCATATATCAAACTCAATCCAACCAACACAAAAAAAAATCAAATTTTACAAATCATGTAAATTCAATCATAATAACAACATTAAGAACTTATATATTTCATAACATCAAATACAAAGAAAATAATCCAAAAAACAATAATTTTCGATCAAAAAATTTGAAAAACCTAGTTTTAGCAAAAAAAGATGAAATGGCGGTGCAGGTTTTTTTTTCTTTGTCATTCGTCGGTTGGGAAGAAAGAGGGTTGATTTTGTGAATTAATGAGCCGCCACTTGAAGTGGCAGCTTTTATACTACAAGAGGAGAGTCGTCACTTCAAATGACGGCTTTTGTGAAGTAATAGAAGAACCGCCACTTTGAGTAATGGCTTTTGTTAAACACGATTAACCCAATAATATTTTGAGAGTTATAGAACGATATTTTAGGAATTATTTAATTAATTAATGTCATTCCAGAAAAAAACTCAAATGACCTTCATCAAAGCATTATTTTATTGGAAAATGTTAGGGGTACACAAGTTGTACACAACTTGTACACACAATGTCGGTCACAGACAATTGGTACGGAGTTGTCTGTGACCAGTGACCACAGATAAGAGTTGTCTGTGTACACAGACAAATTTTGTCTGTTTCCACAGACATTTACTTTATTGTAAAAAGTACTTGTATTGGAAACAGACGAAATTTGTCTGTGTACACAGACAACTCTTGTCTGTGGTCACAGGTAACTCCGTACCAATTGTCTGTGACCGACATTGTGTGTACAAGTTGTGTGTACAAGTTGTACAACTTGTGTACCCCTGTCATTTTCCTACTAATTTTATTTCCATTGCTCTCCCCACACTACACCCAAGTCGTTTCAGCACCAGCGCATTTTCCTTTTTCGTACTCATTGTTGCATCTGCAGAGTTGAAAACTATCTGCAGATTGCTGGAATTTGAGTGATTAGAATGGCAAGACATTGGCAGCATTTTCCACCTGACGAGGAGCTGTCATCATCGCCCAGTAGCGCGCAGTCGAGGGATATGGATGGACCTGGGAGGTGGACGGAGTACTTGGGTCACGATGTGCCCTCAACAGCGGCCCCTAAAGGCTCGAGGAACGCTGTGACTGAAGGAGCTAGTTCGAGCGGGTCTAGTCATAAAGGGGTGAGCATGCAGTGGGCATACCAGCTCACCCAAGTAGCTGAGGGGCTGTTGGCCAAAATGTATAGATTAAATCAAATTTTAGATCATCCTGATGTGACGGGTCTTGGGTACTCAGAGGTGTTTTGGAAGTCTGGGATTTTCCCGAACCATCCCAAGATATGTATATTCCTCTCAAGGAAGTTTCCCGAGCATCACAGCAAGCTGCAGCTTGAACGAGTAAGAGGCTGTCCTTTTAAAGCGTTTTTCTTTTTCACGGATCGAAATTAGACTGGCGCGGTTACTAGTGTAGGTTGACAAGATTGCGTTGGATGCGATGAATGATGGCGCAGAGGTTCACCTACAAAGTTTAGAACCATGGATTCAGGTAAACTTTAAGTCGCATCTTCAGTCCCTTGATCTATGCCGTGTAAATCTATGTTTTTGCCAATCAATGACCTGCTTTTGAATTTAGTGTGTGTCCAAGTATTATCCACTTCTATATAAATGGATTGTGATGCATGAATTTTGAATGTATCCAGTCCAAAAAAATGAACGTATAACTAGGCCATGATTGCTAAAGGTTGCAAATAAAACAGTCACACACATCTAGATTTTAAATCAGGCTAGGACAGAATAGGGTGACACTTTGAGAACTCTTACACCTTGTAGTTGACCTTAACATATAAGTCTCTAAGTTCATCCTAGAGAAACAAGTGATGTTAACTCTAAAGAATAGAAAAATGATACTGCTAGAATATAATTTTCACGTATTAACCATCTATGTTTTGGGTCACATGATTTTTCAGATAAAGTATCATATATTTCATTGCTACACATTCTGCACATGACCATCACACTGAGGAATATTGGAGGAGATATATAATCTCTAATATGTCCAAGTAATATCTCAACCATTATATGGGGATAATGTTAATGAAGGATAACTTAGGGATGTTATTTACCATCTGAAATTCCGAATAATAACGCAACAGATGAGGCCTGCGATATAAAGACTTAGGTGGTCCAAAGTTGTAATGAGGTCCACCAATTAGTAATTAGAGAGATATAGGAATAGAATTAGAATGATATCTTCTTAGTATCTCCAAACCAATGTGGATGCTCTATGTGCATTAATGGAAGTCACAGTTTACTATATGATTGAGTGTCTTGACAAGATAGTGCTACAAACAGTCAAACGTTTTCCAGTATCTTACAACTATTGGACATTGCCGAAAAAACTTCCATGACCATGATTCATGATCTAAGATTGGCGTTCAAATAAGGTAGTTCCTTAGAGGCCTAGACATTTGTTTGTCTATGATCAGCAATGGTAGAATGAAAGGATCAGTTGAATACCGTAATTTAATATCAGTTTTCCTTAAAAAAGATCACAATACCACACTAGTGTGGTTAAATGGCAGCCATGGTGTATGAGGACTACACAGAGCATTTGTTTCCATACACAGATTAAGGCACACAGTCAAAAACCCTGGATTGTGGTGTAGAGAAAGGTCTCTCAATGGGATATGTGACTGGATGATCTTTATAAGTTCATCTGTCGATTGCTCTATTGTATAATTTTTGTTATCTCTGTGTACACATTGCTAGTCATATTTTGTTTCTAATTTTTAACAGAAAAGTCTCCAACCACTGAATAAATTAAAGCGTCCAATCATATGAGAATCAATTTTAGAGCAGAGAACTTAAAAATGGAAAACAACCTGCCTAACCATCCCAAGCATGAGATTTTTAATTTACTCTAGCTTGGGAATATGATGGAATAAAGCAAAATAGCTCACTAAACTGTCTGCGCTTCTTTGTTATGAAGCAACAGCCAGTTCATGCAATTTTCGACGCGATTTTCACCATGGGTCATCCGGAAACAGTCTCTTTGTGCTTTAGTACACGGGTAAGGTTGTGTACATCTGACCCCCCTTACCCCACCGTAGGTGGGAGCCTTTGTGGCACTGGGGTAATGATGATGACGAGTGGGGGTATCTGGGAAGTAGTACAAGCTACACACTGACAAAAAGTTGGTTTTGTCTTCAGATGTAAAAGCAATTATTCCAAATTTTTATGAGCTAAGGAGTTTCAATAATGGTTTTTTTTTATATTCCCTAAACAATAAACATTATGTATCAAGAACTTTTTGTAAGATGAAAAAAATAAGGCTCAATAAAAGGGTTCTTACGTCTTAGATGGAATGAATTATTAAGGCTCATTGAAAGGAAGAAACATCTTAAGTTATTATTGTATAATTTTATTGTTTAAGATGAATGTAAATGCTTTTGTATCACTCTTGATGTAAAAAAGTTTATTTTTTTGTTTCTAAATCAACTTGGTTTTCATGCTTAGTTGCTTCATGACCTGATGGCGTTTCGGGAACATGCTTTGAGGCTTATATTGGACCTGAGCAGTACAGTCATTACCTTGCTGGTGAGTGGTGGTTTTTGATTTGGCACACCAAAGGAATTTAAAAACAAAAAAAGCTTACAATAATTATGCCCATGCTGATGCGTACCACCTTACATTAGTGATAGATTAACTCATTAAGTGTTACTACCTTGAAGTATAGAGTAAAGTTGCTGTTATATTATTTCCAATCTGCCTCTCTAATTTGCAAACTTGACTTGCAGCCTAACCAGAACTCTCTTATACTGCATGCATTTATGGACCTCATTTGTGCCTATGTCCGTGTCAATCTGTTCTCCGAAAAGGCAAGTCTGAGCTCTGTATGTATCATTCTTTTCTGCGAACATTCATTAGATTGAAAATCTATTCATTTTGTATTGTTATTGCTTTTTGCACAATCTGTTGGGCTACCCAACAGAAATTTCAGACCTAGTAGAAGGTTTTGCATCATGCAAGGCTATACAAAGAAAAGTGTTGACAACATTTTCTATGTTTTAGGGAGACAATCTTCCATACTTGAACCAATGACATACTGACATGGTTATCTAAGTGTAGCACTCAATGACACTCTGATGACATTCCTTTTTGTCTGCCTGCAGATGCCCAGGAAAATGATGCTGCAAACATATAATCTTTTGCACGCCACAACAAGAAATGACAGAGACTGTGATTTCTATCACCGGTATTGCTACATTTACCTTATATCTTTCTTTTATAAAGTTTTTCAGGTTATTGTTTGCGGTACTAATAGTGTAATGCAGAATACAAACTGCCAATCAATATGTGTTCTTCATTTTTTATAATGCCAGTGTACAAGACCTTTGCTCGAATAATGTCATGGGCCTTTATCGGCCTGGTAAATCTCCAATAGCCCTCCTTGCAGAGTTTAACTTGGCCCTGGCATTAATAGGGTCTTATAATTTATGTTTTCTCGAAAATGAAAAAACAATATTGTATGGTTGCAGGGCCCAATATCTCCCAAATGTAAACCCCCACATTCAGAATTAGGCACTGAAACAATTGACAAAACATGTTAACCCAACTTTTCTATTGTTTGAAGTTCGTTTTTAGAAATCTTGGTTAATCATTTAATCTGATTTATTATTTCTCAAGGGATGTATTTATATATTATAATTGAATTATACTTTTATTGTTTATTTATGATTTTATGCTATAAAGGTATAAGGTATTGTCTCTTGAAATACCCAAATTTGCATGGAGTATTTTTTGTGCACTAGTTGCCTAGAATTGTCAGTTTGGCATTGAAATGATTTAGAAGTTCCATCCTATCTGGGGGGTGGGTGTGGGACTGTGGGGGTGGGAAATGTAGGCCGTGGTCTGAGAAGGGGTAATGAGAATTTATAGTAGTTACTTTGTTGCATTTGCAAAACATAGTACTACTCCTCTTCAATGTTTTGCTTTTCAAAGTGTTTGGGTCTCCCTACTCGGCTACTCTATATAAGCTTCAATAGTACTTGCACAACAGGATTGGTTCCCTTTATTCATAGACATACCTCTTTAATCAGTTTCACTTATAGTTCTATCTGCAACTATCTCTTCGCCAGTATGTCATAAAATAGAATGAAGATACCTTTTTTTTTGTATTTCTTATTTTCTATTGAAGTGCACCGAGTGCTGAACCTCTTTGTGTCTTCTTGTTTAATCTGTCCTGCTATCTTAATTATATATCAATGGTATCATTTCTTATTTTCTAATTTCATGGTTTGAAGCTTGCGACAACACTTTAGTTGTAGATGCTTATAATTGACACATTCACTCTCTCTCTAAACACAGGTTAATTCAATTTGTTGATTCCTACGATCCACCCTTGAAGGGTCTGCATGAGGATCTTAATTTTGTCAGTCCTCGCATTGGAGAGGTCAAGTCTGTTTTTCTTGTACTGATTTTTTTCGCATTTCATAATATATGCAGAATCATTTTCTAATCTATGCGGAGTCATTTTCTTTGCTTGATAAGTTTTACACACCAAATGCTAATTCACATTGATGTAATTTGTTTTTATATGAATTATGATTGGAATCTCTAGTGGTGCAATTTGGAAAATCAAGTCTATCAACTTGCAGAATTTTCTATTGTCCTTTGTTTTTATCAAACTCAACGTAGTGGCGATTATTTTTTGTCACTGTTTGTATGATAGGATTAGCTTAAACTAATGTTTTAAGTTGTTGCTTCTGCCTAACTTTACACATTTTAAACACAAGCTGTAAGCAGAGAGAAGGGTACTTAACATTGTTTTTCACTTTTCTATAATATTTTACTTCACTAGTACACCAATAACTACTTCTTTACATAACACTCCAATTTCCATTTCCTTAAAATCACCTTTATTTTAACACTACCAACTTTTATTATTAAACACTCTCTCTAAAATCTCTAAAATAGATCACTTCTCCCAAACACAAACACACATCAAACTGCCTTAGTGTCCATGCCTTAATCTTAATTTGATAGAGTAAAGAGACATGAGCTGGAGTAAAACCCAATAACAAATGTTTTTTCTTTATTCTAGAAATGATAAAGGATGACAAGGACAAGGTGTACCTAAAAGGCAACCTCCAACATCGATGAATCTCTTCCCAATTATTATACGTTTATTATAATAACTCTAGACATGACCCCCCCTCTAGTGTCTGGACCTTACTTATAATAGTAGAATTTTGAGATTTACTATTGTCTTTTTCATGTAATAAGTGATTACACGTGGTAGTCTATTTATACAAGTGCTTTGACTTGCTGCACTATTACAAGTGGATTTCTCTACACACTACTAGTGGATTCTTCTATGCACTTCTAACTAGCTAGGACTTCTATTTTCAACACTCCTCAAGATAGACAGAATATATCTATTAAGCCCATCTTGTCAAATAGTCCTCTAATGAATTAAGTCCCTCGGTGAGACAATCGGCCACTTGTTCTTTAGTTGCAATATGACTTAGCTCCAGTAGACCACCATCTAACTTCTCCTTGATGAAGAACCTATCAATCTCAACGTTTTTAGTTCTGTCATGTTAAACAGGGTTGTTGGCAATGTGGATTGGTGATGGGTTGTCACACCACAATTTTAATTTTATCACTCAGTCCATCTTCAGTTGTCTCCATATTGCTTTCAACCACAACATCTCTGCTATCCCTAAGGCCACAACTCTGTACCATTTCTCTGCTGTTGACCATGCTACTACTGATTGTTTCTTGCTCTTCCAACTTCCAAGAGACCAACTTACCTCCTATGAACATACAATACCCCGAGGTGGACCTTCTATCATCAACAAAACTAACCCAATCAGTCATAATAATCCTCAATGCGTAAATGACCGTTCTTTCTGAAGATCAACCCCTTATCTAGTGCAATCTTCAAATACCTCAAAATGTGATATACTGTGTCCATATTATAGAGATTTAGAAAATATAGGATGCTTAGGCTGAATTCCATGCTTTATTCCGTAGTATGTGATGATATTTATACAGTGATGTAGGGAGTATATAAAGAAGCTACTGATTACAATAGTAACTACAAAGATATGTAACAGAAGATTTTAATAAATAATTATAACTGATTAATAAGTAATTATATTTTGGATTCTTCTATACACCCCCGCAAGCCAGGTATTCGATCACTCTCAAGAATCCTGAGCTTGTCCCTGAGAAGAGTAAAGCCGTTGCCTTGGGAGTAATCATAAATTCTTTCTTGAAAAATGGCATAAAATAAACCACAAATATTTGCTAGTAGAAAACATTGCATTTCCAATCTTTGAATCTCTTTACTCATCCACCACAATCATCAATCTGGATTCTTGAATTATTGCTGAGATCTCCTGTTCAATATATCAGGTACTAGAGGCAGTTGGTCCCATTATATTTTTATCTACCGATACAAGGAAGTTGCGGAATGAGGGCTTTTTAAGTCCATTCCATCCTCGATATCCTGACATACTTACAAATTCGGCACATCCAATGGTAACTATTCATTTGACTTCTTTGATCTCAACCATACTATCTTCTTACTATTTTTCTTTGTATCTTCCTGTTTCTCTACATTTCATAGTCAATTCATGCTGTATCTGTAAACTTGCTTGAACTTGTCTACAGAGAGCTCAAGATCTCGCAAATGTTACTTCTTATCGTGAATGGGTATTGTTTGGGTATCTAGTTTGTCCTGATGAGCTTCTCAGGGTCACAAGCATTGACATCGCTTCGGTAAATTCCAAACATTCTGTTCATTAGTTTAAAAAATGTTGAAGCTTAGAATTTTAAAAAGATCATATCTTGGATGGAATATATCTGGACTTTATCATCTATCCACAAAGTACTAATGTAAAGTTCTGTTAATGACTGTTTGTGGAGTAATTATGACCCCACTGCCATTCTGCGTATGACTGTGATATATTTTTGGTAGACAAGATATTTTATGATAAAGGATATACACTTTCTTGAAAGTAGTTCCCAGAAGCTGGTAGACCTTGATTGTTAGAGGGAAGGAGGCTTTTCTTGTGGATAACTTCTTTAAAAGGAGGTTTCAAACCATGATCTATATTTGTCAACCCCATAAGCTCCATTTTATGCTTTGGTAGCTTTTTACTCCCAGCAGTTATGCATAATTTAAGCACGTATTAGGGGCGAAATTAGCTTTGCAAGAATGCATCTGATTTGACGATTCAAGTTATGTATTGCATTTTCTTTCTATTCTTCGATGCTGTGTATCTATTGTTTAAATGTAACTTTTCATAGCTCCATTGTGTTAGTAGTGATTTATTTTCCTCATATTTCTCTTGGATCCCTACAGGTTGTTTTGAAGGAGAACTTAGTCCTTTCATTGTATCGGGATGAGGTGAGTTCTAGTAGTATGTCAGCTATGGGGCGGAGTGGATGTTAGTGTTCATACCTTACACCATTACCTTTTTGTGAAATTTTCAGTATATACTGTTGCATGAGGACTATCAGTTATATGTTTTGCCTCGAATATTGGAGTCAAAGAAGATGGCAAAGACTGGGCGCACAAAACAGAAAGAAGCAGATCTGGAGTATAGTGTGGCTAAGCAGGTTGAGAAAATGATAAGGTACAGTCATTAGATTGACCTTTTTAGACGAGAAATGCTAAAGGTACTCCATTTTGGGGTACCCCCATTTTTACCCCACCCAATGTGTGGCCACAAATGGGACAACACATTTAAGTGGGGCAGCTCTTTTATGTGTGGCCTCATTTGGACCACACAATGTGTGGGGTAAAAATGGGGTACCCCAAAATGGGGGTACCTATAGCATTACTCTTTTTACACTATATGCAACCAATGGGGTGAAAAGTGAAAAACCTATATTTGGGTCTTTTCACCCATACAACATGAACATCCCATGTACAAGAGGGGTAAAAGAATCAGTTCATAGGACCATATCCACCCCTATTCACTCATGTGGCCCACAAAAAAGTTGAATTTAGATTCAAGTGCACGTCTCCTTGAGGTAGGGTTTCTTTCACTACCATATCATACCTTTCATTTATATCATGTGTATAATTCATTTCATTGAACATTTGTATGTTTAATTTCATCTTAACATTTTATTTAATTGTATGTAACTATAAATCTAAATATCTAATACATTTAAAACCTCTTTAATAAATAATTGTTCATATAAATCAAATGGTTAAAAGACTGTTTGAGTAGATATGCTCCTAAGTAGTTGTTAAATCGCTAATCGGTAGGAACTTGGATAAGGGCCGAGTAGCGAGTAGGACCAAGTACTCAGAATTACGCGGCCCTATATTTATTAAATTTAAAAATATAGATGCCCAAAATTCGGTAATATATTAGTCTTATAATTCTTATATATGAATAAAATAATAATAATCCTAATGAGTAATGATGAAGTAGCAAAAATCATAAACATTCTAAGTTTCCAAGAAAATTAATCATTTAACTTGTATGAGCCAATCTGTGAAATGCTTTTAAACCTAGACTGAATTTGTAATGTCATTTCATATTTTTAAAATTCCCACTTGGCCACTCATTATTTGTAAATTCCATAGACGCGCATTGTAACGTCATTTTTTCCTTTTTTCAATAATACCGTATCATTATTTATAATGCCATTATTTGAATAATATATCACACAATTGTAAATGAACTTATTCATAAAAATGAAATGCACAAAATATCAAATCAGTTAAGGTCAGAGCGAAGCAGAACAAAATAGAAAGACCATTTCACATTTGGGAGGCCGTTGAAACACATATGGAAGACGATTAGTCGATGATCATATACAAAGTCATTGTCTTTGCCTTTCAATATTATTTTTAACAATAACAGTAATATATAAAATAATAATATTTATTTTACAAGTAATCATGATTATTTTAGTTTTATAAGAACAATAAAAACAGCAGCAACAACATTTGTACTCCCTTCACCCCTCAAAACTTTGCCAAATTTGACCGGCACGGAGAATAATAAAGTAAAAACTGTGTGGTTGAGGTTTGTGCAGAGGAGAGAGAAATAATAGGAACCACAAATTAGTTGATTAAAAGGGAAAGCAGCGTAGTTTTTGAGACAACCCAAAAGGGAAAGACGGCACGCTTTTAAGGAGTAATTATTAATATTTTTCAAAATAGTACGTAGTAATAAATAGTTGTAGTAATAATCATAATTTTAATGTGATGTGGGTCTAATCTTGTCTTCTCTGGTCACACCCTGTCTTACTATGGTGGTCTGGTTTGGTAATAGAATAAGTTGAGCAGATTAGAGATCTTCACAGTGAAACTTGAAAGGCTGTCTTCTACTTCTTATAATCTTATTTGACTAGATATGCATCATGTTGATCCTTTAGCTGCACTTCTAAGCCATGTGAACATGCTGTACTTTAAGATTTTGTACCTTTCTTGAAAAGTTTGTGAATACATATTGAGGAAGACTATAATAGTAATAAAAGGTACAAGGTCTAAAATGTTACATCATATTATTCTAGAGTCTAATCAATCAAACTGAGCTGCTGTTCATCTAATTTTTGAATCCAATTCAAATTTCATAAAACTTCTAGTCACGTGTGGAATTCTGTTTGGTTGTTGACTTGTTGCTTCTTCTCTGCATCAGTGTCATTGATGTGTGAAGAGAGCACTGACTTAGCAAGTATGAGTATTGGTTACTTACGGTCCTTAGATTCCTTACCATCTTAATACCACTGCAGAAGATGTTTCGGGGGGTGTCCTTAATTAGAATTCCATAAGATTTTAAAGGATTGAGATTTTAATGGAATTGAATAGAATCTGTTAGATTCCATGGAATTAAAAATCTTCCTTCTGATACTCAGTGGCTTCAACACATAGGTTTGTCGCCACCCCACGAAGCCCCCAACATCTCTCACATTTACCTACTTCGCCGCTTGCCTGCTTCGATGGGACCTGTCTTCGCCACCGCATGGTACATCTCTGGTCTGTCTCCCGTAAGGTCAGTGCAACTTCCCGCAGCCTAAGATTGAGAGAAGATTGATCGGCAACATATATCAACGAGGTGAATCATCGGAGTTGTCATCCTCGACTTCCAATTTCGGTGATGTAGCCGGCGAGCTTGTTGTGGTGAGTCACCTGGAAATATATTGCTTCTCGCTTTGCTTCGCTTCTCCAGGGAAAATCCGTCGAGATCCAAAGGGATTGCAGAGATTTTGGACAATATTATTTCCTTTGTATTTTAGGTTTGAAATTCATGGAAATCCTAAGGAATCCAAGAGTAAAAGAATCTATGGACATTTTGAGGAGCACAAATTTTGCCAGATTCCACGGGACTCCACATTGAGGACATCGGATTTCTATGGAATTTTAACAATCCTTTAAAATCCCATGGAATTACCAATCCTTCATGTTAGTCCAGATAGGCTTATGTGTATCCTTCGATTGGTGGTTTTCTTTTATATGTCTATTTCAGGTCATTTTCATCTGTAGACTATTACCGATAGATTTTACATGCCGTAACAATAATCTATTTTTTTTTTATAATTCCATTGTTTCTCTGTGTTGAGCTGACATATAGTTTCTTTGGTTATTGCAGTGAAGTGCATGAACACACTTTACATTCTTGTGATATCATTCACCGAGAAAGACGAATATTCTTAAAACAAGAGATTGGAAGAATGGTTCTCTTTTTCACGGATCAGCCTAGCCTGTTGGCTCCTAATATCCAGGTTCTGTTTAATTTTGATCTATGCTATTTTAGAGTAATAAGATGAGCAGAAATCAATTGGTTGTGGATTTTGTTTTTTGTTTTTTATTGGTTGGGGATATAATATTTGAAATATTCAGATATTCTCATGCAAAAATGATGACAATCTGAGCTATTTTCTCTGTTTAATTGGCATGCATTTTAATTTGGTAAATTCTGTATAGTACCGCTATGGTGTTATATTCGCTATTTGGTAGACCAATACTCCTAGAGTTCATGATTTGTTTTTGTCTAAAATCTCACTTCCTGGTCACTTTTATGAAATGTAAAGATGTTAAAAATGCATTTTTAAACATTACAAAGGAAAAAAATTAAACATATATCTTGTTTAAAATTGCCATGTCAACATCAATTCATTTGATCTGTACTAAGAGTAGTACTACCTCGGATTTTTTTTAATAGCTTTGGGACTTGCCAAAAATCACAACGGAACTATTTTTTAGTTATGGGATCAAATGTGTTGTGTTCACCCATATAAAAATGTTTTATTAGGGATAGGTATGCCGATATGCATTTTTAAAATTGTAAATTGCTCTTACAGTTTCATCTTTAATGCCAAAAGTTCACTTTTAGCATCTTTAGATTTAATACAATTGAACTGAGAGTTAGATTAACAGAAGACGATTGGGGATTACAAATTCGTAGTTAGTTCCAATTTATCAGAGAATTTACAAAGTTTTGAGTTTGGACACATTGTGTACATTACGTACATATAAAGATAACGTGTGAACTAAAAAAAGTCTCAAAACAGGCTAAGCGTTTAATTTGATCAAATCTTGTGGCAATCAGTTCGAAAACTTATTACTCTAGGGGTAGCATGTAATTGTTAAAGCAATTCATGAGTGGGCCTTACTAGTGCCATGCTTAGGGCGAGCGACCCTTAAAAATATTTCACTACTTTCTATTGCAGTATAATGCGTCATTTGTCTTTATATTTTACACATCAGATGCACATTCTACTAGATTATTTCCATAATTCCATTTAGGATTAAAGCTCTAGTTTTCTCAATCTTTTGTGTAGGATATCTACAATGTCCCTTTCTAATAACATTTTCTTGCGTTGTGTAACCTGCTTATGAGTGCTATAAAGTTTCCATATCAAAGATATTGCTTCCTCAGAATTTTGATGTGCTTACAGATGGTATTTTCAGCACTGGCTTTTGCTCAAAGTGAGGTACTTTGGTACTTCCAACATGTAGGTGTAGTATCACAAAAATCAAAAACTGCTCGCGTGGTTGCAGTAGAAATTGTAAGAAACTTCTTTTCCTTTAGTCATTATTTGCACTGAAGTCAGCTCTATTCAACCATTTGAGCCCATTTTTTTGTTCGTGGGAACAGGATTCAAGTGATCAAACAATTGGTTTCATATTAGATGGAATGGAGTGCCTTTGTGGTCTTGTGCGGAAGTATATTTCAGGTGAGTGTCGTGAACCATACATAGATGTATTTTATAGAGTATGAAATCTTGGATCTCTTCAACTGCTGATGACTGCAAGTTTCTTAGTATATGAAAGATCACAGTAGGTTGCGATTGATCAAAGTAGCATAAAATTTTCAGTAAAGTAGATATTAGGTTTGATTGTAGATCTTCTGGAACAGCGGGATATGTCAGGGCTACATAAAATTGTGGTCCTCTGATCCCCTCTCACATGTTAGTAGTCAATACTGTTGAGAAATGAAGGAAATGGTACTCAATTTCACTTACGAAGAGAGTTAAAATCAACCTAGTATATGTAGAGTAAATACATCCTGGAATATTTTAGACACCTTGAGCTGAAGTACTTCTTAAATATTACCGCTGCAATTTGGATAGTAAAAATATAACTACTTTTTTTCTTCTTCCAAAAATGTGACTAATTGTTTGATGAACTTAAATTTCCTCTTTTAATCCCTACTCAACTGCCCACCCCCTATCCCACTTCCACCTCAGGCAACCACTCCTCTGCTGACTGCTGGAAAATCATCTAATGATGGAAAGAAATACAGTTGTAGATCGACATAATCAAGGAAAGCAATTAACCAGTCTAATAAAGGAAAGCAATAAAACAATAAATCAAATCTGCTGTCAAGGAATTAATATCTATCCATAATGAACTGCTCAATTAGCTAAGGATTTGACCTTGGCGTTGCGGCGCTTATAAGTCTCTCCAAAGAATGCATCAACATCATAGCTACTCAACAATATGTGTTGCACGCACATGCACACACACACACACACACACACACACACTTTAATAAACAAGACCATTGCTATATAAACTATGCTTAAAAGGGACCTTCAGATTCAGGTGGCATTTTGTATAGTTATATACTTATATATGATAAACTATGCTGTGTTGAGGGTAATTTGCTAATCTATTTTCCGTGATTTGCTAAATACAAAAAAAATCATCTCATTACAGCAATTCGAGGCTATGCTTTATCATACCTGTCATCCTGTGCTGGTAGAATACGATTTCTGTTGGGAACACCAGGGATGGTTGCTCTTGACCTCGAAGCGAACTTGAAGGGTCTTTTTCAGGAGATTGTTCAACAGCTAGACACCATTCCAAAGCCACACAGTGAAAATGTTTCAGCAATCACATGTGATTTATCTGTAAGGAGCTTCTTAACTGATATCTCCTCTTATATCACTAATTAATCAGTTTGTTTTAGCTTATAGTTACCATTAACAAAGGACTTCGTGAGGTTCCATAGCTAATACATGGTATTTATTTAAACACTGTGTGCCTGTGTTACACCAGTGTTTTTCATCCACAACACAGAGTTGCTCTTCTTCTGAAAAATGGAGTAAAAGGAAAGAGAAGCTAACTCGGCGCCTTTCTCATTGTATCTCTCATATTCGTTTCTCTCTGCCTCATATGAGCCTTCTTATTTTATGTCTTTCTTTTGGAAATACCATTGACAAGATACCGATTGCCTTCCATTTTCTCCTGGACAGGCAGGCCACAACTTTTTTAGTCATTAACCTTGTGAACCTATTGTAATTTAGTTGCTTACTGTCAGCCTCATTTGCTTTCCATCATTTCCAGTGTAGCCAAAGAGTTACTATTTTTGGCTTGTGAATATGATGGAATAAAGCAAAATGGCTCACTAAACTGTCAGTCCATGCAATTTTCGGCACGATTTTCATCACGGGTCATCTGGAAACAGTCTCTCTTTGATTTAGTATAGGGGTAAGGCTGCGTACATCCGACCTCCCTTACCCCGCCATAGGTGGGAGCCTTTGCGGCATTGGGGTAATGTTGTGGTACCATCATCTCATTTGCTTATATTAACTCTGAAATTGAGCTGTCTTGATGTCAATTAGGACGTACGCAGAGATTGGCTATCAGTATTGATGATTGTTACTTCTGCACGATCATCTATAAATATTCGGCATCTGGAGAAGGCTACTGTTTCTACTGGAAAAGAAGGATTGTTGTCTGAAGGAAATGCTGCATACAACTGGTCCAGGTGATTTGTTCTTCATGGAAATAATGTATTAAAAAGTAGTATAAATATGAACTGAGTGAAGAATAAATGGTAGGCGGGATTTCAGTTGTTTGTGGCTGTGAGAGAGAGAGGCTTTCTCGAAATTGCCTCACCTGTACTCTTTCCTTTTCAGTTTAATCAATTTCCTTCTTAATATATATAATTTCCTATTATGTGTCTGGTTCCTATCATATACCTAGGCTTAACAAATCTATTCGTCTTACTACAAGCACTGCCATGCTTGAGCTTGCCAGAGAAAAGTGGGTGAATATGAGAGTGAAGAGCTTACTTCAGATGTCACAATATACACTGCACCATCTGTATCAACATTTGCAATATTTGGCTGAGCCTAGACCCAACCCGTAGAATACTGCCTACTTTCTTCAGGCGAGAGCTGCAACCACATACTTTCAATTGTAAAGAACATGTAGAAACACCCAGAAAAATGAAAGAAATGGAATTAGGAGACCATGATGATGACATGGAATCCATGTGTACAAATATTTGTATTGCTGGCAGCCTGGCAGTGACCTAAAGATTACCAACCTTATGTCATAGGCAAGAAGGGTTTAACTTTATCTTTTCTTGGAGTTGGAGTGTCTTTTTGAAGCTTAATAAGGTTGAAGGACCCAATTGCTAATTTGATATTGGTTGGAAGGCTTATTTGACATTTTTTTTCTAATTTTGAAGCACATGTTGGATTGATTTCTGTGTTGTTAGCAATACTCATCAAACAACACTTGTCTGTGTTAAGGCAGGTGTGTTGATGAACTTGAAGCTCAGTTATCTAGACATGGTAGCTTGAAGAATCTATACTTCTATCACAAGCATCTTACAACAGTATGTAATTTCACACTTTTTGATGATTTTCATATTTTCTATTTGATTGTAAATGTGAAAAAGAATATAGGTCTTTCGTAACACCATGTTCGGGCCAGAAGGTCGTCCACAACATTGTTGTGCATGGCTTGGTGTTGCTAGTAGCTTTCCTGAATGTGCTTCTTCAATCATCCCTGAGGAGGTATGTTTTCATCAAGTATATATCTATATAAAGACTAAAGTGTTCGCAGGAATTATATGTCATACCTCTTTTTCATCATATGGACGGACTCTCACCTAATCATGAATCTTTATTTATGTTTTATACTTTCACGAATTCCTTTTTTAACATCAAGAATGATTCGCCAATGTGGTTTAGCCCAATACGTTAGTCTTGAAGACCCTAGATCAATTGGACTCCGGTTTGACATTGAAGTGTTGGGATTTTCTTTACACTTAGTAAATGTAGCTTGTTATTCCTCGTGTGGGGGTTCACATTGTTTGATCCAAATGTTGTATTTGTAAAGATCTATATCAGATTCCATGGAGTTGTCATGTATAAAAACATTTAAAATGTTTCAGATAAGTTTGAAAGATGAGAAGAAAAACTACACTCAATTCACTTATAAAGTTTACTTTAGATAGAATAACACCATTATTTGAATTTCAGTTCTTAGGCACAGACTCACAGTTTTATGTTGATTTGGATCTAGACTAACTTAAGATGTTTCAGCATTGTCCAATACTTGGGAAAGTTTCTTGAAAAAGTGTTTGGATTATAACTACAGTTCCAGAACTGGATGAAGTTTGTTGGCTTGAAATGCTTGCTAAGTGCAAACTATTGAATTTTACCTTATTTAGTGGAATTGCCACATAGATGACAGAGTAATAGCAGTCCTTACCCCATAGGACACAGTTCTAGTTGTATCACATGTACTTTTCAAGCATGATCTTTGTGTGCTATTTGAGTTGTGGTAGGGGCTTTGCAGGGTTCGGATATTGAGCTGTGTAAGAAGATGTATGACATTTTGTTGGTAGAGCGAGAGTCTATTAACAAGTATGGAGTTGATTTTTTGTGTGATCATTTTCTTGGCAGAGTTTATTTCATAGAGTAAAACATAATTTATAAGTTCCACTTGTTGTAACAAATACGAACTTAGAATAAAAGACGACTTCATATATGATCTCACCTACTAACCCTATAGTTTTTCGAAAATAACATGTGTCCATTTGTGATTAGAACTATAATTTTATTTTTCTTTATACATACCTAGTGAATAGTTAATTTTCCTCATCACTTGATCTCAATCATAGGTTTTAAGTTTCATTTTGCAGCTAATAGCTTTTCAATTTATCACAAGTTTATTTGTTCAGTGTGCCAAGTATTACTGTAAAGCCTTAAACATTTGATGCTATACTTGATGCTTTATTTGTAAAATTGTGTCCGTTTTCCAATTTTTGAGATGAAGAGGTTGTTGCAGTAAGCATTTTATGTCCGGTATAGGTAGCTAAAATTGGCCGTGATGCTGTTCTCTATGTTGAGTCCCTCATTGAATCCATCATGGGAGGCTTGGAAGGACTAATCAATATTCTTGACTCCGAAGGTGGATTTGGTTCTCTCGAGATGCAGGTTTGTCCTTAGTCATATTGTTTATAAAAAGATATAGTGAGTTGTGTTTGCCTTAATTTATTAAATGCAATTTCAGCTTCTACCAGAGCAGGCTGCACATCTCATGAATTTGACTTCAAGAATATCTACTCCTTCAGCGAAATTACCAAAAGCAATGTCCGGTTTTCATTTGCCTGGCTACGAGAGCTACCCTGAAAACAACAATTCCATTAAGATGTAACCTTTTTTTACACCACATTTAACTCCCTGAGTCTACTTTCTTTATTTTTTTAAGACAATCTTACATTGTTTTTCTTTTGCAAATCTACTAATAAAGGTTAGAAGCTGCTATGCAGAGGTTAACAAATCTTTGTTCAGTTTTGAACGATATGGAGCCAATCTGTGTTTTAAACCATGTCTTTGTTCTGAGGGAGGTAAGAGGTATCAGTTTTTGTAAATGGACATAGTTTGGGGCTTGATTATTTATGCAACATGCTGACACTTGTTTGTCTCATAAATTCTAGATTCTTGTCACCAAAATACTTCCTAAAAATGTGGAATCCAAATGATATAGAAGAAAGGGAAAATGGTCAAATAAGGCCTTCTACTATTACAGAATCGTCACATAAGGTCATGTACTCAATAAAGTGTCCGATAAATACGTCTACTTATAAAAAGCAACCGGATGAGTCATAATGACCCGTTGACAACCTCCTAAACCCGACTTTATCTTACGTGTTGTTATTTTTGTCTTGTATTTAAGTCAATCCTGACTAAATATTGCATGTTAGCCTTATAATCTGTCTTAAAAAGATAGCTGGATGTACGCTAAAACTAGGATTATGAGGTTGTCAAAAGGTCTTTATGACTCATTTGATTGCTTTTTATAAGTAGACGTATTTATACGACACTTTATTGAGTACACAACCTTATGTGACGATTTCGTAATAGTACAAGGCCTTATTTGACCCTTTTCTCTAGAAGAAACTAGTTCCATAATGAACAAGATTTGGAGAATCCAAATTACTCTTGTTAGAATATACTCCTGTCCGCCAAGAAAAAATAGTCCTATTTTTGAAGTTCGCTTTTTGTCTTAAAAAAGAATCATTTCATAAAGCGGAGCAATATTTTCATTAAACTTTCCCAAAGAGTTGCAAACGAGTTCAGTATGATGAATCTAGCTAAACAGAAAAACAATGTTACAAAAAATAAGTGTGATTCCACTACTTTTTAGATTTGTGCTTCTGCATTGCCACAATTAAAAGGCTGCACCTTGACCAAACACGACTCTTTTTTGTGGAGGGACAATTTTTGTTTATTTATTTTTTAAAACTTCAGGAACTGTATTTTATAGATTTTTAGATTGGTCTGTGGGACTGATGCACTTTTTTATTTTTTACTCTTTTATATATTTTGATACAACTTAACATTCAGGGCCACTTGGCTCTTGCTTTGTAGAGCAAGCCCAAATTTTTTATTGCAAAGTGACTGGTGCTTTAATACAACAGTATTTTGTTGCAGTATATGAGAGAATGTATACTCGTGAACTTTAGGAAGAGACTGCTAGCGGTTCTTAAAAGTGATAATGATCTTCAACGCCCTTCTGTATTAGAAGCACTTATACGCCGACATACAGCTATAGTGCATCTAGCTGAACAACATGTTAGCATGGACCTAACACAGGGCATCCGTGAAATTTTACTGACAGAGACATTCTGTGGTCCAGTTTCATCTCTACATATGTTTGAGAAAGCTGCAGAGCAGTCCACAGGATCAGCAACTGAAGCTGTGTGTGATTGGTACATTGAAAACATTGTGAAGGATGTTTCTGGTGCCGGCATCCTCTTTGCACCACTTCATAGATCCTTCAAGAGCTCAAGACCTGTTGGGGGATATTTTGCTGAGTCCGTCACTAATCTCAGGGAATTAAAAGCTTTTGTTCGTATTTTTGGTGGTTATGGGGTTGACCGGTTCGACAGAATGATCAAAGAGCACACTGCAGCACTGCTGAACTGCATTGACACGTCACTGCGGGCCAACCGTGAGGTTTTGGAGGCAGTTGCAGGAAGCATGCACTCCGGTGACCGGATTGATCGAGACACAAATATCAAGCAAATCATTGATATGGACACCATGGTTGGGTTCTGTGTACAGGCAGGAGAGGCTATTGCATTTGACTGTCTTCTAGCTGAAGCTGCTGGAGCTGTATTACAAGAAGGTGCTCCTCTCATTCATTCTTTACTAGCAGGGGTCACTAAGCATTTGCCTGAGGAAATACCTGAGAAAAAGGAAGTAAGAAGGTTAAGGAGGGTGATAAACAGTGTTGCTCTAGCTGATGACCATGATTCGGAGTGGGTCAGGTTAATTTTTGAAGAGGTTGGTGGGGGTGCAAGTGATGGTTCGTGGAGCTTTTTGCCGTACTTATTTGCCACTTTCATGACATCAAACATCTGGAGTACGACAGCTTTCAATGTTGACACTGGAGGCTTCAACAACAACATTCATTGCTTGGCAAGGTTAGATTTTTAAACACTTTTTCTTCATATGCATCAATGCATGTACTTGTACTAAGTTCTAAATATTAATGGGATTTTGCTTTGTGATCTGTATTGACATTATTGTGCATGCAGCATGCATCAATCTTCTTTTTTGTTTCTTGAATGATCAAGGTACATACTGAGAATACAACAACAACAACAACATCCAAGCCTTAGTCCCAAACGATATTGGGGTCGGCTAACATGAATCGATATATGATATCACCAAAAGGAAAAGAACGAAAATAAAGATAAAAAGGATAAGCTATTATAAAAAAAGATAATATAAAAGAGATGAATATACATATAAAAGATCAAATAAAAAGGATAAAGTAATATTTATATATAAGGATAAAAATATAAAAGAAAAAGAAAGAAAAAAAAAACAAAAAAACAAAAAAGAGGAGAAAAGATGATACAAGATCACTCTTCCACACGAATACCCGCCCTCCATTTTGCTCTCTCCAAAGCCATACTCTCATCCAATCCAAGAAGAAGCATATCACTTCTGACTCCCCTAACCCACGTCTGTTTGGGCCTTCCTCTCCCTCTCTTCCCTACCTCTTCTCCACACATCTCAACTCGTCTGACAGGTGCATCACTCGGTCTTCTATGCACATGACCAAACCACCGTAGGCGTGACTCCCGCATCTTATCTTCAATAGGTGCTACTCCCACCCTTTGTCTAATTGTCTCATTCCTCACGCGGTCCTTTCTAGTATGCCCACACATCCAACGCAGCATGCGCATCTCTGCCACACTCATCTTTTGAATGTGACATTGTTTCACCGCCCAACACTCCGTGCCATACAGTAATGCAGGCCTAATTGCTGTCCTATAAAATTTACCCTTCAGTCTAGTCGGCATACCTCGATCGCATAGAAATCCTGACGCACTCTTCCACTTCATCCACCCTGTTATGATTCTATGGGATACATCTCCATCTAACTCACCGTCCTTCTGAATTATGGAGCCCAAGTAACGGAACATATCGCTGACCGGTATCTCCTTACCATCTAAAGTAATTCCGCTATTACCACTGCTTCTACCTCCACCAAACTTGCACTCCATGTACTCTGTCTTGCTTCTACTTAGTCTGAAACCCTTGTTCTCCAATGTCTGTCGCCATACTTCCAACTTTGCTTTAACCCCTGATTGCGTCTCATCAATCAATACAATATCGTCGGCAAACATCATGCACCACGGTATATCGTCTTGAATTGACTTTGTAAGTTCATCCATGACTATGACAAATAAAAAAGGGCTCAGAGTCGATCCTTGGTGCACTCTGATAGTAATAGGGAACTCCGCAGTCCTCCCTACACTAGTACGAACACTTGTAGTACTATCCTCATACATATCCATGATGATGCTGATATACTTGCGTGAAATGCCTTTTCTAGTTAAGGCCCACCAAAGAACTTCTCGAGGTACCCTATCATATGCCTTTTCTAGTCAATGAACACTAAATGCAAATCCTTGTGAGCGTCTCTATACTTCTCCATAAGTTGCCGAAGAAGGTGAATAGCCTCAGTTGTTGAGCGACCAGGAATAAAACCGAATTGATTCTCTGAAATCTTCACCGTTCTTCGAAGTCTTTGCTCAATCACCCGTTCCCAAAGTTTCATGGTATGACTCATAAGCTTAATCCCTCGATAGTTGGCACATTCTTGTACATCACCTTTATTCTTAAATAAGGGAATAAGAGTACTCTTTCTCCAACTCGTTGGCATCTTGTTGTTTCTCCAAATTTTGTTGAAGAAATTTGTTAACCACCCGATGCCTCTCTCTCCCAAACTTCTCCAAGCCTCGATCGGTATGCCATCTGGACCCACTGCTTTCTTCCGCCCAAGGTTGTGAAACTCGAGATCCTAGCTCGGATCGGTGGGGGGTGAGGAGATCGTAACTCGTGGATCGTAACTCGAATCGTAAGATCCTAAAAGCAAAGATATCATGCATATATATAATATATATTTAAACTTAAAATTTATGAAATATGAATAACAGAATAACATACTGTCATTTCTGAATTAAAAGTTCAAAACACTTAGCATAACAAACTTAAGATAAATGAAAAAAGACATCCTCAAACAAAATCATGCAGGTTAAAAAAGATCATCCAGCATGGCATCTTCATCTTCAACAGGAGGAATCTCTAAATCATCAGTTGTTGAATCACCAAGACCACCAATGTTTTGAGCATTTTCTTGAACGTCAACATTGAGCTCCTCATCATCACCAGCATCCATCTCAATCCTATCATCATCTTCATCTACAATCCACTCATCATCTGAAGCTAGATCGTCAACATTATAATCTTTTCCTTTTCTCCTCCGTTTGTTGGTACCCAGCCTTGAATTAACCATCACAAAAACAACATCGTTCATCGTCTTTTGCTTCAAACGGTTTCTCCTTTTCGTGTGCACCATCTGGAATGCACTCCAGTTACGTTCACACCCGGATGAACTGCATGTCAAGCTCAAAACTCGAATGGCAAACTTTTGGAGTTCAGGATGCTCATCCCCGTATGATTCCCACCACTGGGCTGGAGTTTTTGTTTTAAGTCCTTGTGTAGCAATAGCACTTCCAAAAAACCCCTTTTTAGCTTTAAAATCTTCAAGTTGCGCATCAATCTTACTAATTTCATCAAGATCTCCCACCAACCTTTGTAAGCAATCATATAGCCCCTTCTTAACCTCAAAATCAGCTTTAAAATTCGGGCCATAATGTAACATGGGATTAAGATAATATCCTGCCGCATGCAATGGTCTATGCAACTGCTTGTCCCACCTTTCGTCGATGATGTCCCACAAAGGAATGTAGCTAAAAAAGTAATCATTAATTTTTTTTAAAGTTATTTATAGTATGTAATTAATAGATCATAAACTAAAAAAATGTTAAGTAATTTGTTTATTTACCTCCTTGAAGTATTTTTGAAAGCCTTCTGAATGTTCTCTTTCGCTTTATCCATTTCCTCATAAATAAATCCCATACCCGGCTTTTCATCTGAATCCACCAATCGTAGAACCTTAATTAATGGATATGCGCCTCTCAAACAATTGAGAATATTCTTCCAAAACTCTTTATCCATTATCAAATCTTCCACCGTTTTGCCATCTCTAATCTTAGAAAATGGACTAGACTTCCACTCATCAGACGTCACCATTCGTACCAATGGCCCCTTATTATCATGCAAACATCCCAATGTTAAATACGAAGTGGCAAATCGAGTCATGCCAGGTCTAATCAAATCACGGCCCTTCGTAAATTTATGCAATAAACAAATGAGACCCGTACGAGAATAAATATACGTCGTGATCTTCTTTCCAGAGGCAATTGTGTCATGATGTAGTGGAAGTTTCTTCTCAAAATCTTCCAACATCAAATCAAGACAATGAGCGGCGCACGGCGTCCAATACAAATTCTTCCTTTTTTGCATCAAGAGATCTCCAGCAGCCTTGTAATTTGTTGCATTATCTGTTACAACTTGAAGAACATTTTCCTCTCCAACCTCTTCAACGACCTCATCCAGCATCTTTTCAATTTTTTCAGCCGTTTTAGAAATCTCAGATGCATCAATAGATTTCAAGAAAACGGTACCTCTAGGACTATTCACCAAGAAATTTACTAATGTCCTCTTTCTCGTATCTGACCACCCATCCGCCATTATGGTGCATCCCGTTTTTTTCCACGAGGCTTTGTGCTCCTCGACAATTTCTTTAGTCTTTTCCACATGCTTTTTCAAGTACTTCACCCGTACTTCATGATATGAGGGTGCCTTGAATCCAGGACCATGCTGGGCAACAAGATCAAACATCTTTTGAAACTCCGGGCTGTTAGCAACATTGAAAGGAATAGCATTGTTATAAAAAAATAAACAGATTGCATCACATGCTTCTTCCCTTATGTTCTTCTTGAATATAGAGTTTATCGTTGTTTGAGTGCCTGCTCTTCTCTTGAAGATGTTACTGGAATCATCCATTTCCTCCTCTCTTTTTCGTTTCTCGTGATCATCCCCTCCATCTTGACAGCTTTTAATATTGGATTTTCGTTGTAATGCCACCATTATATCCCACATTTCTTTTCTAATTTCATCACTCACGCTTCTGCAAGGTGCCACATCTTTATTTGTTCCTGCCAAGTGATGCTTTAAACGGTAAACCCCTCCTGTAAACACCTTCTCACAGTATTTGCACTGAATTGTTCTCTTATCTTCGCTCATTGGTATACCGTGCTGCCACCCGACATCATTACCCTGCCCAACATTTTTTTTGTTCACTCTTCCTGAACCGCTTGCCATAGCTTTAACTTCTGGGACTCTTCCAGAACCACAACAGAACAAAACACTATAAAGTGTGAACAGAGAGGAAAGAAGAGAACTCAATGCTATTATCAAGAAGAAGATGAGTATGTATTATAGTGCGACACCCCCCAGACTTTATATAGAACCGATTAACTGAAGACGAAGAAGGTGAGTCCCAATTGGAGTCTGGTCGCTCAGGTACGTCGCTTGGGGAATTGGGTTGCGTAAATGTTTTTTTTTTAATTTAAAAATCAAGTCCTTTGCGATTTCCGACTCTCAGATTACTCTCAGAGTCGTTTGGGATTTCCGAACAGTTGGGTCGTTTGGATGGCGAAGATCGACGATTCAACGAGTTTACGATCTTACTCGCCGATCCGGCGAGTTTGATGAAATTTCCGATCTTCTCTGCGATTCAACTCGTCTCAGGTAAACAAACGCGTAAGATCGTGCGATTCAACGATCTTGATCGCGATCTTTACAACCTTGCTTCCGCCCCATCTTCCTCAGAGCCTCTTTAACTTCCGTTGGTTGGATCCTTCTCACAAAATCACGATTTACCATACAATCTGGTATGGTCAAATCATCGATATCTTGCACTTTGTTCCCGTTGAACAATGTATCAAAGTATGATCTCCACCTCTCTTTTATCTCTCTGTCCTCCATTAATATCCTTTGATCGACATCCTTCACACACTTAACTTTTCCGATATCTCGAGTCCTGCGATCACGAAGACGAGCAAGTCTATAGATATCTTGTTCTCCTTCCTTAGAGTCCAATTTTTCATACAACTCCTTGTTCACTTTCCCTTGTGCTTCTTTTACGGCTTTCTTTGCTTGTCTTCTAGCCTCCTTGTATGCTTCTATGTTCTCATCACTCCGACTTATCCCCAGCTTTTTGTAGCAATCTCTTTTGTTCCTTATGGCTTGTTTCACCTCATCATTCCACCAAGACGTGTCCTTTTTGGGTGGCAGACATCCTTTAGATTCCCCAAGTACCTCCTTTGCCACTTTGTTAATGGTCAGCTCCATCGATAACCACGCATCCTCCACATGTGTTCCATCATCAATTCGCCATACATCTTCACCGAACATTTTGTGTGTAAAGCTTTGTTGAAGATCCCCCTCAAGCCTCCACCACTTTATCTTTGGCTCCACTTGTTGCTTAACTTGTCTTCTATGGTTCTTACCTCGAAAGTCGAGCACAAGCATCCTATGCTGAGTGACAACACTCTCACCTGGGATAACCTTACAATCGGTGTAGCTAGTTCTCCAAGTAGTCCGTACTAAGAAGTAGTCAATTTGGGTACTATTAGCTCCACTTCTATAGGTTACAAGGTGAGAGTCTCTTTTCCTAAACCAAGTGTTCATTATAGCCAACTCATACGTTGAGGCAAAATCCAAAATGTTCTTTCCCGCTTCATTTCTAGTGCCAAAACCATGTCCTCCATGAATACTCTCAAAGCCATCACGAATCGAGCCCACATGCCCGTTGAGGTCGCCTCCTATGACCAACTTCTCTCCCCTTGGCACTCGTCGCACCACATCTTCAAGATCTTCCCAGAACTGTTGAGTTGTAGATGCATCCAATCCCACTTGTGGTGCATAGGCACTTACCACAGACACAATCTCACCCCTCATCACCAATTTAATGCTCATGATGCGATCGTTTTTCCTGAAGACTTCCACCACATCCTCAACATAGTCACGTGCCACAATAATGCCTACCCCATTCCTGGTCTTATCTCTCCCCGAATACCACAACTTAAAACCTCCGGGATTAATCTCACGTGCTTTCTCTCCAACCCATTTAGTTTCTTGCACACACATAATGCTGATATTCCTCCTCCTCATAACTTCGACTACCTCGGAAGATCTGCCTGTAAGAGACCCAACATTCCACGTCCCAAAGCGCAATCTAGCACTCCACCTTCTGTTCTTAGACCCGTCTCAGACCCCACCATGCCCTTGCATTTTTGACATCATCCTCGGGCAATGGGATGACGCGCCGCTTCCGGACGACGACCTAGCAACCTTAACATTCTTATCACCACACCCAGGCCTATGAAGTGTAGCGCGCCCTTGCATATTTGACACCACCCCCAGGCGGAGGGATGACGCGTCGCTTACGGGCAACGACCTAGCTATAGCGATATTCATATTTCGATTCATGTCATGTGATGTGACTAGGTAATACTGTTGGCCGTCACGCGCCTACCACAGCACCCTCCTCCTTTATCCTGGCTTGGGATAGACATGAAACCAAAAAAAAAAATTGATCTCATGGCGGAGTTAAGGTACATACTGAGAATAAATGAACAAAATAGATTGATTTATAAACAGCATTTTCTGAAAAGCACAATTTCGGTGCTTCATGGCTTGACAAAAGTGCTATTAAGTTGGCGACTTTCAATTCAATAAAAGCATTAAAATTTCAATAAAAGTAACTTTTTAATATAAATTTGGCTGAAGTACTTTTATCTATTTTGAAGTCTTCCTAGATGTGTGCTCAGAGATTGTTGGATATGTTTTAGTCCATGGGTGCCCTAAATCGCTTAATTTATTAGTGATAATAGATGATAAGCTTTAGTAACATCATCCTGCAGACAATGCCGGTGGTAATAGGAGACAGCACACATATACTTGAATTCATTGCAAGCTATGTACTGGCTAAAGACAAATTTCACAGTCTGTAGAATGAAATGGAGAGATTCCTTGTGGGTGATCTAACCTAGGTTGCAATTATTTAAGCATAGTTAAGTTCCATTAAACCTTGATTTTCCCTATATTCTCAGAACCAGTACAAGTGAAAATATTAATTTATTGTAATATATGAAAAGCGATTAATATTGCTTTAATTGTAGTAGTAGGGAAAGTCAATTTACTTTAAGTTTCGCAGTAAATATATGATTTTCCCTACTACTACTTTAAAGCAATTAATATTGATATTCAATTTCTGTAAATATACCAATATGAATATATTGTACTACCTCCGTCCCCTTAATATTAGAAGGAACTGGTTTAGTTTTTAAGAAAAGTAGAATTATGTGGTTGATAATGAGTTGATAAAGTGGGAATAAAGTAAGAATGAATTAGAACCACACAAATGTTACCAAATATGGTATGAGACAAAATTAGTGGGGCGGACGGTGGACAGAAAAGGAAAATGGGACATGTATAGTGGGATGGAGGGAGTAATAGGTAAGGACTCTATTTACTTGTTCATCAAGATTGCTGAGTAGTGCAAATATGATGTTTAACTTTACAAGTGGTATTACACTATTACATAATTCCAAGCTTAATTATATTACTAACAAAGTTAATCAGGTCTCTTTATGAATAATAATTAAATTGAAGGGAGAAAAAGTAATATCGGAATACGTACCATACACGCAAAACACCATTAATTTTGGAATAAAAATTTGTTATTCATATTTTAGGAATCGCCACCTATTTTAGTCATATTCCCTGTACCTTTTCTACTCCTTCCGCCTCGTTAATTTTTCCCAGTATCTTTCCTTTTCGAACCGCCCCACTAGGATTGTCTCATACCAAATTTGGTAAACTTTGTGTGGTTCTAAACTTTATTTTTACTTTATCAATTCAATATCAATCACATAAACCGACTTTTCAGAATAACTGCACCACCTCCTGATGTCCCAATGTTAATAGGACAGAGGTAGTATCATTTTCCACAAGCATAATCCATGATCTGACTTTGGCTTTTCTCTGGGCAGGTGTATTTGTGGTGTTATTGCAGGAAGTGAATTTGTCAGGCTCGAAAGAGAACATCAGTTGAAGCAGTCTTTTTCAAATGGTCACACTGATGAGGCATTGGATCCTGCTGAGGTACATATCCGTTCATCTGTCGAGGCAAGCATCAAGTCCACAATGCAACTTTTTGTCAAATTCTCTTCTGGAATTATCCTGGATTATTGGAATGAAAACAACAGGTAAAGACTATCTTCTGGAATTTGTATCTTTTTGTGCTAAAACAGTATTTTGAAGTTGGTGCTTCTGCTTAACATTAAAGTAATTGCGCTGGATAGGAGTATAATATAAGAGTTGTTCTAAAATAGGACCCCATGTGTTTTATTCCCTAAACGGGAGTTCAATTCCTGTTATACCCCTTCCCCTATTTTTCTCTGTAGCAGCACCCTTCCCTTTACTTTCTCCCCTCTTTTCTCTCTCCTCTTTCTTCTCCCTCTCGTGGCGTGGCGGCGGCCTCGTTGGAGGAGGAGATAAACGGAGGAGGTTGTCTCTGGAGGAGATGGACGGGGAGGAGGTTGCCGGAGGAGATCAATGGAGGAGGCCGTCACCGGAGGAGATCAACAGAGGAGAGCGTTGCCGGAGATTGACAGAGACGGCGGAATGTGACAGTGATGGCGACACAGACAACAGAGCCTGACGGCAGCGGCGGCAGAGTGTGACAGTGATGGCGTCACAGACAACGGAGCCTGACAGCAGCAGCAGGCCAGCGGCGGAGATGCTGGAGTGCGGCAGCGACTGAGACGCCGGATGGTGGTGGCAGCTGCAATGGTGTGGAAGGGTGGCGGTAGTGGAGGGTGGCAGCAGCTTTGGTGAATGCGGCAGTAGTTCTAGGGTTTGAAATATTCTTTAATTTCTTTTTCTTTTTTAAATACTCCAGTATAAATATAAATATACCTTATATTTTGTTAAGGGTAATTTGGTCAAGCAATATACTTTTTACTCCTATCAAAAATTAAATTCCTATTTGGTAACTTTTTTAATGTTGTGCTTCTATTAAGGGAATTAACTCTTAACTTTATACAGTTTGAAGCTAAAAGCTCTAAGCGGGAGAACATGTTTAAAATTTCTTTCGACAAATAAGTATTTTTTTTACCAAACCCTCATGCTTCTAATTTTTTTAAACCACTATTGTTTTTAAACACCACCTGCTTAACAATTAGTCACCTTCTCTAAGATTTGTGGAATAAAAACAATCACATCTCACCAGCACAAGCATACACTAACAATACCTTGTACACGGAATTGCCACACTTACCTTTTAGTGCATATACACAGTGGCGTATCCACTATGGGGGCAGCTGCCCCACTCATTTCCAACCCAACCCCTATATATATGTCCAATTTTTTACAAGAAATTGCTCAAATTAAGAGTTAAATGTAGAAAAAAAATTCTAAAATAGGATTAGAAGTGTTTTCTTTAATATTAAAAGAATGAAAGGCTAAAAAATCACTAAATTTTGTTATGTTTAATACTGTTTAACTTATATTTAGGTAAATTTATTACATTTTATTTGCAATTACATCTTTACACACCCGTAATATAAATTAATCTTCTTTTTATTCATACTTGTACATAGATATTATAAACTAAATTTAATCAAACAATATTCATAATGTGATTTGTTATTTGTGAAATATGAGACTAAATTGTAGTCAATTAATATGTAGCATTTAGAAAGCATGATTTGAAGACCCACTGGCTGTTAGCCAGGTACTTATTAGGCATTATTTTGGACTTGTGTTCTCACAGATCTAGCATTGTAGCAAAGCTCATCTTCCTAGATCAAATTTGTGAGATGTCTCCATTCCTTCCAAGAAGCACACTTGAAAGCTACATTCCATACGCCATTCTCCGATCCATCTACAGCCAGTATTACTCAAACTCCTCTTCTGGCCAACAACTTGCATTGCTGAACTCATCTCCCCGATATTCACCTTCTGTTGCGCTTGGGCACTCATCTCTGGCAGCAGCAAGGCAGCAGCCTCACCGTGAATATTCAACCCATGCAAGTCTTAATGATTCTGGCTACTTTAATAAGCCATCATCATCAAGCCACATCCAAAACCACCAGCTGTACGAAACTGACAGCGGAAGCATTGAAATTAGGCATAGAAATATGCGGCGATCTGGGCCACTGGATTATAGTGACAGTCGCAAAGTAAAACATATGGAAGGATCGACATCCTCAAGTACAGGACCAAGGTCTGCGATCTCCAAGTCCGGCCCTCTGTCTTACAAGTACAACAACAAATAAAGGCAAATCCTAGGCTCCTAGCATAGCCAACTTGATTGTACATTTGCTTAGTGTCAATATTTGATAGCGGTAATTTACGCACAACTTTATGCTCATATAATAACATTGTTTATTTCTACTTGGAAAGTCCAGTTTCATACTCAATGCATTGTCTCAGGATGATTTATTTATTTGAATGAGTGTTTTTCCTTGAAAAATGTAAAGAAAATATACGTTTTATGTGTATATGTCATGTGTGTGCATATATTTCTAGGAGGTAGACATGTCCCTGGTTTGAACCGAAAATGAACTGGAGGTTCCTGGTTCCGAAAACTAGGAAACCGGAACCAAAACCTTATAATACCAATTCTTGGCGGTTCTGAACTGGCAGTTCCAGTTCGGGTTCTAGTCTGGTTTGCTGGTTCTCAATTTGTTTAGCTCTAATATTAATTTTGTTCATTAATCGTATTTATGTGTATTTAATTAAAGTATTAAAGGTACAAGTTTTGAATTAAAGATATTATTAAAATAAGTTAGAATATAATTCCCTATCCTATTAATACAATCAGCTATCACACTCAGCTGACTCAAGTAACAATAATGACTCAGGACTCTTTTCCATGGTTTGTGCATGTACTTTTTTTTTTCTTTCGTTATTCTCTTATGCCAAACTAATCAGAAGTACAATCGAAGTTATAATATCAAAAGCTCAGCATCAGAATTTGCTGAAAATGTGAACTCTAAAAGATATCAACAATGCAAATTGAGATATTCACATATATTTTGTTTTTTAATTTTTATTTTCTAAAGAGATATTATCCAAAATGGGACTAAAAAAGTTTGGAAATTCCAAAATAGGACTTCCATGTTTTTATTCCCAAAATAGGACTAATTACTGTCATGTTTTGGCAGTACCAGACTTCAAACATGGCAGTATTTTCCAAATTTGGCAGTAATTAGTCCTATTTTGGGAATAAAAACATGACAGTCCTATTTTGGAATTTTCAAACTTTTTTAGTCCCATTTCGGGAACTTTCCCGAAATTATTACCCATGAATTAGTGCATCTAAATTAATATTCGTCTTCATATTACATGGGTTTCTACAAGTTTATATAATAATCTTTAATGAATATGTTGCAGTGTATGATTATTATTATTCTTCCAAAATTATCAAACACCATGAAGAAAGTCGAACCCGAGCATTGCTCGGGTGAAAAAACTAGTGGGCAAAGTGTTAGTTGAGGAGAATTAAGCTAGTTTTTAGTGTCCTAGTTTAACTTGGGAGAAAAGCCTTAGTCTAACTGCAAACCGCATATAGGGCCATAGGGGTGTGGAGGAGGGGGGTGACATAAGAGAACCACATCTACAAAAACTTAAATTCAAATTCCATTCGCATCTTCACAATAAAGTCTCTCTTCTTCTTCAGCATAAGTGTCAAAAAAAGCACTTAGGTACCAAGGACATTTCTCATTCCAAGCACCTCTAGGGGCATCAACCCGCCACATTTGGTCTTCAATCATCTCGGGTGACAGCCCCCAAGCTTCCATCGTTTCTTCAGAATGATGGACGGCTAAACTGTACTCTCCTCCATTCCCTAATTGCATTACTCGAATCTCGCAATTTGTGGGATTGTTGAGACGCTCGAACTGCTCAACCGTCCACTTGAACCACTTCATCATGAAGACGCGTATCGCTAGTCCGTGAGACACAATTACAAGATTCAATTCATCAGAGGGGTGCTGGTGTTGGAGTCTTTGCATATCTATGTCCCTCCATAGTGATTCTAGGAAGCCTGCATTAAAGGGAAAGCTTTCAATATTGCTGCATATAGAAATACAAACTAACATATAAAAGTTCCAATTAACTCCTCTAGTCAAGTTGACTTTTAGAATGGATCGCCAAGTTTTATTAAATCTTCGCATGCTACATTTTCATTCGAATTGATCCAGCCTTTTGGTCTAGCACTCTAGCCCTATGAGTTTGTTGCATTGACATGGAAATGAACTGCTAAGAAGTAAGAAGGATAATAATAGAATAAGATCATATTTTGAAATGGCATCAACATGTGAAAATTAGTCATAACTTAAAGGGTACTCAAACAATTCCTAACATAACGATCAATTAAAAGTTTACTATTCGAGAAAAGAATTTATATAAGACGAGAGAAATATAAAATCGATTGATTAACAAATATAGAGTACATGTATATATGTATGGGGAACATGACGTCTCTAATGGAATCACAAGAAAGTCTACAATGCAATTTAAATTTAATACAGATACTCAACAATAGCACAACAACAAAAACATACCAATACTAGTACTACTAATAATATTTAGGAAAAATTGAAAATAATAATCCTAACTATTGCCGGTCCACTGACAATAATCCCAACTATTGATTATTTTTGTATAATCCCAACTATATGGACTGTCCGCCAATAATGGTCCATGACCAGATATTACCTCCTATAACAAGTGAATTTTAAATAGAAATTAAGCGTAAAATTAAAAGTGGGGATTATTTATAGAGATTACTTGCTATATCTCTTCTCATCTACTTTAGAAACTACATGAACTTATTTATAGGGACCATTATTGGCGGAAGATCCTTAAAGTTGGGATTATTTCTTAAATAATCGATAGTTGAAATTATTATTAGCGGACCGCCAATAGTTGAGATTATTACTATCAACATTTTCATAATATTTATTACTCTGTATTAAGCAACCATATTCATACTAAGTAATTGATCCTTTTCCTTACTAAGCATGGCATTGTTCATTTTACCACTCCATCCTCCATATTGTCTCTCTTATCAATATGCTTCATTCCCGATTCTTGAAAATCTTTACCTTAATGAAATACTATTTCAAAACCTTCAATTACCGAAAACTGCAACCATTTGGTTGTATGTGTTTCCTTTAACTCCGTCTTGACTGCTATACAAAAATAAATCTGCGGACGGTGGAGTGTCTTTTTGTGATATTTGCAAACATTTAAAAAAAAAACAAGTTCACAAACAAAGTTTAAAATATACGGAGTATATTTTATAAGAAAAGACAACCCAGTGCACATTGGAAGCGTATACCATACAGCCGGCTGTACGGCTGGGCACCGTACAGCCGGTGACATTTTTGTAATTTTGATGAAGTTCATGATTTCTCGTAAATGAGCATCGATGTAATTTTGATGAGCACCGAGTCTGTTCTTCTGAGTATTAGAAGCCTAACAATGAGCACCCGTGATCTCTGCTTCATATCTTCTAATTCAGTTTCTTTTTATTAGTTTCCGTTTATAAAAAATTCTTAAATTGTATTTATAATTAATTTCAATATGTCAATCTACTGTAGTATGATATGTTTGATATGTGCATCATTTTAAAATGAGCATAAACCAGTACCAAATGAGCATACATAATTTACAAAATGAGTATCAAAAAATTCAAAACTTCATTTGTGTATGCTCATTGATTTTGAGCGTTATATTTGATATGTGCATCATTTTAAAATGAACATAAAGCAGTACCAAATGAATATACATAATTTATAAAATGAGTATAAAAAATTCAAAAACTCATTTGTGTATGCTCATTAATTTTGGGCGTTATATTTGATATGTGCATCATTTTAAAATGAGCATAAAGCAGTACCAAATGAACATACATAATTTACAAAATGAGTATCAAAAAATTCAAAAGCTCATTTTGTGTATGCTCATTGATTTTGGGCGTTATACTCATTTAAGTTTAACATAAAACTCATTTTTAATGTGTTTAATATTCAGTTGTGTATGTTCATTTCTTTGAGGCGTATACTCATATGAGTTTAATATAAAAGTCATTTTTAATGTGCGTAATAGTCAGTTGTGTATGTTCATTTCTTTGAGGCGTATACTCATCTGAGTTTAATATAAAACTCATTTTTAATGTGCTTAATAGTCAGTTGTGTATGTTCATTTTTTTTATGTGTATACTCATTTGAGTTTAATATAAAACTCATTTGAGATCAATAGCAATATGGTCTTCCTTTGTCTTCAGTAGGCTTGCTTTGTCTTCCAAAATCACAATTTCAAACATCAAAATTGAATAAGAAAAGGAGAAAAACAGAAAAGAGTGAAAAGAAAAACAGGGGTGAGGAAGGAGAATCAGATCTGTTGTGTCCGTTCTAGAGGAGAAGGGGCCATCTCCGCTTTGGTTTCTCTGGCGAAGAAGCAACTAGACGAAGCCAGATCGAAGAACCAGACGAGATCGGAAAAGCTGGTGCGAAGTCGAAGAAGAAGCGCAGAACAAAGATCAAAGCAGAAGAAGCGCACAGCAAGATTGAAGCAGAAGAAGCCAGAGCCTAAAAAGTGGCCGACTGTACCGTGCGCACGGTACAACCGGTTGTACGAGAGAATTTACGGTGCACATTAGGGTCCATGCAAGGCAAAGCACTCACACAGCAACACCATAAATATAAATATACAAACATTTAACACAAAATATTTTTTTTGTTTGTATAGGTATGAGGTAGTTTTTTTTTAGAAGGAAACAAAATATTTCCTCCCTCCTTTTCTTTTATCGTTTCTCTTCATTATCTTTTAATGTTCTTATGTTATTGTTATCTTATATTTATCTTTATCTTATCCATTTTATCTTACTTTTTTCCCTTTATCTTGCTTCTCTTTTTTCGCACCGATATCACAGATCGATTCATGTATGTTAGCCGGCCTCAGATTCTTTTAGGATTAAGGCTTGGATGTCGTTGTTGTTATATTGCAAGTTACAATTTATTATTTCCAATTTTTTGTTATACAGTTATATATGTTACAATTTGTTAAGAAAAATAAATTTAAATTCTTATTTTTTCATTTTCCCACACAATTTATTAGTTAAATATTTTTGAAGTCTTCTAAATACTAATTATATGATTTTAGCATTTAAGATGTTTTTACTTGGACTTTTTTAGTCACAGACCAGACAAGATCAAACCTAATTTTTCTTGCGAAAAAACATTAGACATTTCATCGTGTGAAACTAAACCTAGGTTATTTGACGTATAATAATTTCAATATGCCGTCATGCCCATTGTGAATCTTATGCATCCTTAAAGTTAATAAAGGCTGATTTTTCTTTTTGAGTTAATATTAAGGTATTTGTGTATTTAAAGAAACGTAAGAGCTTATCTAGTTATCTCACATAATAAAGTAATAAACACTAGCATTTGCATCATTTGCCTTCATAATTAAAAGCGAATATATACGTAGTATATTTCAGGCCGGATCCGCAAGCAGGGG